TCTCTCTCTCTCTCTCTCTCTCTCTCTCTCTCTCTCTCTCTCTCTCTCTCTCTCTTTCTTAGGTGCTGATGGTTTATTTCCAGTAATCAACCACAATGGTAGATTGGTAAAATAAATTGAATATTGATGTGCATTGAACTTTAAGAATTTCCATTTTAAGAGTAATAAGTAATTTGAAAACCAAACTATTACTGTAATACTCACTCTTTTAAAAAAAAATCAGGTATTGTTGGTTGGTTATATTGTACCTAAAATAATGTCTTTATTTGGTAGCATGGAATCTGGCTTCTTATTTGTTATTGTCAGTCTTTGAGTCCCAAACCTCTTCTCTCCCTTACTTACATGGGGAGGGGGGCAGCAGCAGAAGGCAATGCTGTGTTTTTTGACCAATTTATAGTAGAGATTTAAAAATAATTAAATTTGAATGGAGTTTAATCTTTTTAATTCCTCTAAGTAACTCTTGGTAGATCAAGAACTAGCTATAGTATTTAACAAAAAAACCAAAGTGTTTGTTTTCCATATCTGTCTAATTTTATATTCTAGGGTGTTTAGTAGACTATTACACTAAAAAGTTCAAAATGTTTACAATGACATGTACTACTTCCTCAAAAGGAGGCTATTTTAAAACACTAAGAAGAAGAAGAAAAAAGGGTCCACTGCTCAAAACAGTTATGGGGATTACACATAAGAAGTTTGGAATCATAACTTAAACAAAAGTATTCCAATTTTTTTGTAAAATATGGTTAGAAATTTCACTTAAAAGAAAACACGTGAAGATTTACATATAATCATAATATTACCATACTATAAATAAAACTTGAGGGCAAAAAACAATTCAGAAAGTATCATACTTTAAATTCTTTAAGAAATGTGTACTATAGTTCATTAAATTCTTACATCCCAAGGAAGACTTTAGGAATGCTGAAGAGTATTGTTCAGAGTCTGGTTTTAACTTTTAAGTAGTGATAAGCAGGCAGTGTTGAATACACTCTAGAAAGGGCATTGGAAGGACAGCTGAGAGGATGCTCTGGCTGGGAACTTTTCTTCATTTACATCATTACTTGAGTGTACAGATCCATCTGTGTATGTGTGTGACTCGGACTTCCACAACCATTACCTTAAGTGCATTGATATGTGAAGAAAGGCATTTATTTCAAAGGCCAGCCAGTTAATCTTAGCAGATTGAAACTTTCAAATAAGCAGCTGGCCTCGCGTCTTTTTAAAAGATGGCTGTAAAGACTGTGTGTGATCAGTAAGGAAGTGGCCAGCATATTCTAGTCAGTTAGCAAACTGTTGCTACTCCCTATTTTAAAACAGTAGTTTTCTATGCTGAATTCAACCCCACTTCGCTGGCTCATTGGCGTAGCTGGAACCATGTTGGAAAAAGCAATGTTATTCACAAGTTGAAACAAAGGGCACCTCCTCTGTAAGCTAAGCATCCACTAAAGCAACTGGACAAAGCTGTGACTTTTCACATCTCTTTTTACCTCTTGATCTGGATACATAATATTGATTCACTCACCCTGAATGAATAGGACTGGAAGAAAGAGCCACGTTGTCTAAGTTCTCAGTGCCCCAGCTCAGACGATAAGAATTCCTTTCTGCCTCCTTGGCGAGCGCTGACACCTACACACAAAGAACAATGGATTTAATGAAAAACGATGCTTCAAAATTCAAGTAAAATATAAAGAATTCTGAAAAAGCATAAAACAAAAGGGGCTATGACTTAGAAGATTTTTAATTTAAAAAAACTTAAGAAATAAATCTGAAATCAACCTCTCCTAGTGCATTTCCTTTTAACTCAGACAATAGCAGAGTACTGTGAATGCCACTGTTTGTCTATTTCCTTATATTCAATCCATCAAGAGTAATAAAATTATCCCTAAAATTAAAAGGTTCCAGAGTAAAGTTTAAGCCCTTTCTCACAGCTACCTTCAATATTGCAACAAAATATACTTTACAACACACCATTCATTTTATAAACAGATGCTGCTTCATTTTTTCTCATAACAGAGATATTATTTACAGAACACAAATCTTTACATAAAAGCTCCAGAGAGGAACTCGTAATGGCTGAAAAAAGAAACACTATACTATTTCAGGGAGAAAAAAAAAAGCTAAGTGTAAAATCTGGTGACCATCTCTCATGCTCTGGGACACCCTCCAATCTCTCAAACTAATTTTCTTGTTGTCATTAAGAGAGAATTTAGGTCTTTACTGGTCTTTCATTTTGCTTTCTTCTCTTGACCCCACCCCCCACCCCCAACCAGTTTCCAGCCAGATATTTGTAATGTTAGGATATATGAAAAAGCTGTCCAGAAAGCAGAGGCAAAGGCAGAAATTCATGTACCTGGTGGCTGGGGATCACAACCGTGTCGTCAATCATGGCACTGTCCCTCAGGTACGATGCATGGCTCAGAGTGTGAGACCTGTCGGAACTGAAGGACCGGAGGCTGGTAGGTTGGCAGGAGGTCATGGTCATGTACCAACAGCGGTGGAGGGTTGGGAAGGTGAAATGAGCCGAGCAGGAGAATGAAAAAAGCCTCCTATTAGCTAACAGTGCAACTTCCAGGGGACACGGGTCTCAGAGTGGCCCTACCCAGGTCTCTGCCCAGCAGCTAAAATGCATCCTCAGACTGTGCTTAACACTGAACGGCAAGGGCACAAGGGAATCCGCAAGTTACATTCGATACTCCTAATCTGATTCCTGTTCTTTCCAGAAATGTTTGAAACTAGCAACTGTCACTTATTTCCCAGTGGGAAAAATTTTTTTAAGCAGGCAATAGTTCTTAAATCTGTGTTAAATAATGTCCCTGCAGCCATGGGAAAATATTTACTGGAACGTAAACTACTCAGAGAGCAAAAGCAAAATGAAAAGGCAGGATTTGTTTTTTGTTTTTTGCTTTCTCTTCATTTTCTATTCTCTTCTCTTGCCACTTTCTCTTACTTTCCACATTGTCAATAGCTGAGTGTCAGCATCCTCCCCTGGAAGGTACAGACAGAGAGAAATGAACTGTGGCCAAATGCGTGTTTCCTGTGGAAGTAGAGTCCCTCCTGTTTATCTTGGATGAGCACAACAGTGTCCCTTTTGCACGCCCTGTGTGTCCTGTAGGAATCCCTAAAAAGTGTTGGTTGCCATGGAGATGAGAAGCAAGAGCAGGACAGAACATACCAACACAAGGGCAATTTGCCAAAGGATGTTGACCAAAAGTGATGTGGGGCTTCAAAAAGCAATCAGAGCCTTGCGATTCAGTGCTTTATATTTTTGATAAATCTGATTTTTGTTACTCCAAATTATAGACTCAAATGAAACAGAAAAAACCATTGTCCTTTGCATAACTTATTGCTTCTAATCAATCTGTACAGTCAAATGGCATTATGTTGGTATAACTAGTTTTGTTTTTCTGGGACAGAGTCTTAATCTGTCACCTAGACTGGTCTGGAATTCACTATGTAGCGCAGGTTGGCCTTAAACACTTGATTTTCCTGCCTCCATCTTCTGGGGTCTTTCTCAACTTGTTTTGATTTAGAGGAGGTAGAGGGAGTTATTAATTTTTGTCTTGCCTAAATGGCTAACAGGGAGAAAGAAACAAAGTAGCATACAGCCACAAAAGAGAAGGTTAGATATTAGAGTACAAAGACAGAGGGAGGGAACTGAACAAGACCACGGTCTGAGTGTTCACGTCTTTATCAATCTAGCGTAGCTGTCTCTGCTGCCTGCCATCTGAAATGCTAATGGGTCAGTGAATCAAGCTCATGTGTTCTAACTGTTCTTTTCTCCTCTAATGACTTCACAGAATCTACTTAAATGAAGTAAATACGGCTGAGATACTATTCTAACAGCAGAGACATAATTCCCTCTGATGAAATAATGACAAGAATAAACTTTTCAAAGAAGTTTAAATCTCTGCATTATAAATTGCACACATTTGGCAGGAAACATTACAGACAAATTTAAATGCGTTACAGCAGAGTTTCCATTTACAAGACATTACTTCGGGAAGGCTTCCTGTTTGGTTAATGCACTGAGAATAACATGCTCAAGGAAATTAAAATGTACTGGTTCACTTGGAGAATCCACAGCTATAGATACAAAGAAGGATTCAATTCATATTTTCTTTCTATCGTACACCTGTCTTACAGATTTGAATGAGTATAACAATTACTAGCTTAGGAAACTATAATACCTGTTAGACATTCAACTTGTAGAGTTTGAAGCCCCACTGAACAAGTAAATATACAACATTTTCAGTGTGGTTGAAGAAGCGACTGTGGTTTGTTGTTACTTGGAGTTTTCCTATTCGGATTTGGATAGTTGTAAGCAATAATAATAAATGGATTAAAATCCAACTGACTGTACTTTGGCTGTGGTTTTGCTCTATATGCATTAAAATGTATGTGTTTTAATCCTTCTGTATTTATGCTTATTTTAGGCACTCGAACGTTGTTTTCTGTCTTTTCCCAGTATTGATAGGCTGTTTAGTTTATGGGAGGATCATGCTCCTGTATTGTCAGCCACAAGGTGGCGCTGTAGGAGTTAGAGTCAGGGCTGGTTCTTAACAGATACCTCTTCTAACTCTAGCAGTTACTACTTTAGCACAAAGGGAGTGTGGGGGGGGCTAATTTGAGGAAAAATCTATAATTCTAGAATATAAGCAGCATTTGCCAATGCACATCTGTGCCCACGCGCAACCACACGCACACATACACACACACAGTGAGCAGTGAGCAGTGATGAGCAAGGAGCAGGGAAATGCAAATGTGCCCAGGAAGAGCATGGTTTCATGCCGTGTGATACCTACCTGGGAATGGTACTATTGACAGCACACCAAATAAAGAAATAATGAGAGAGGAAAATGGTTACTAAAAACGTGATGTACCAAACTGCTCAAGCAAAACTGGAAGAGTAATTAATAAACCATGAAGATGAGATGCGGCCTGTAGACCTATCTGGGGGCTTGTGTATACATGCGGTGGTCAAGAAGTGCACATGGGAATCCAAGAACAGAGCATGCAATGTTTGTTTTATGCTACTGTCTTTGTATGCTGATAAGTCTCAAACCATTCAGCGCCCCCTCCCCCCCAAACACACACTCTCTGGAAAGTGTGTTCTAACTCTCAACTTTAGATTGAATATAGAAAACATGAGTGAATCAGGCATTTGGAAAAAATAATTAGAAACTGATGAAAATGAAGCGTTCCTTGGCTGAGCTTAACCAGGCTATTCATAGATTAATGTGAGCTCATGCAAAGCTATAAATAACTTCTTATGCTGAAACATAGCGTGGACACTGTCTCTGATTCTGTGGCCTGTCTATAGATCCCATTCCCCTAACTGAGCCGCCTTGTCTGGCCTCAGTGGGAAAGGATGAGGCTAGTCCTGCAGCACCTTGAGGAGACACGGTGGGGTGATACCCAGGGGGGCCTCCTCCTTCTCAGCAGGGAAAGGGAAGAGGTATGGGGGAGGGGAGCTGTGTTAAGGGGATACAGGGGCCTGTGATCAGGCTGTAAAGTCAATAAATAAATTAATAAAAATTATTTAAAGTAGAAAAAAGAATCTTGGATTACAAATCCAAATCTCTCAGTGGATAAGAACTTCATGTATAGAGCACAGGTTCTGTAGCCTCTCCTCCACACTTCCCAATGGCTCCTCCTTCCTTACCTGGACCCTAAGGGCTACCCTCTATATAAGCCACCAATACCAAGGAGTCACAAAACCTCTTCTTCAACTGCCCCATAAAACTCACCAACGAATCCCACTACCCAAGGTCTCAAAATTGTCACTGTGGCATTCTTTCTACAACTAGGCCCAGAGTTAGAGTTCAATACTGTCATAACCACCAGCAAACGGTATGCTGCAGCTATGTTGTCTAGCCCCTTGGCCCCTCTCCAGAAGAACGATTGTCTGTGTCACAGAAGAGGGATTCTGGTAAAATACAGGTGTGCTTCCCCTCCATCCCCAGCCCAGCCCACTGCACCACTGTGTAGTCCCACCAACACAAGCCTCTGCTAATCACGCTGTGAGGGCTTCAGTGTTCTCTGTCTTCCCCAGCACCATTGCTTAGCCGTCCACCTGGTTTGGGTCACTGCCTGCCAGGAAGCTTGAGTCTCTGGCCTGCATTGGTGCTCAGAGTCCTTCTGCCCTGGCCTTTCAAGGTCTCTGTTAGGCTATGAATTTATCGAACATATTTTAATCATGTTGGTAACATGATTAAACATAATAGAATGCCCAGTTCAAGAATGAACTTACAGAGTAAAAGAGAAAAAAAGTACAGAAAAGGAAAATACGAGAACTGGGATCCAGAGTCTCAAGGGAAAAGCCCCCAAATAAGTCGCCTTCAGAGATTATTTGTGTAGAATTGATGACTCTTCCTTAAATGATAAATATGTGGGAAGTTCATAAAGTGGCTGACAAGAGTCAGCTTTGCACGCTGATCATGAGACTGATGATGGGAAGACATTACAGTTACATGGACAAGCACACATGTGGCCCAGCTTAGCAGCCATACTTCTGAAGAGGCACCCAGAATATTCTCAGTCATCTTCCTGCTAAGAGGAACAAGCACCAGGTATACTAGTTAGGAATAACCAAGATAACATTGACTCAGTTCAGAATATTAGCAAGGCTCCTCAGATTTGTCAATAAAGTGGGATCCTTACAGATTCGGGTCACCTCTTAAGATCCTGTCCTCCCTTTTTTTTTTTTTTAATGAAGAAGTTATTTCCAGGGCAATTTTCCTTTGCGCTTCTTTTCTGTTGTTCTTCATAACATATTTTTGTGCACACAGAAATGACACCACTAAGAGTTAAATTAGAATCAGAGGTATCTGGAGATGCTAACCACATCTGCCAGGAAAAACTGTCCTTAGCATTTCCCTACAGAGCAAACTGGCAGCAATTAAACATATCACTTTGAAAAGCTGGGGCTCCTTTTTATCTTTGCTCAATCTTGCTTTGTAGTAGATGAATGGTTATGCTATATTATTTGATATCTCTGAACTAGTCTCCTGTTCTTCCAAATGGGAACTACTTAACATGTCAGAGGAATGAACGAGATGACACGCTGACAAGCAAGTGCTTGCTAACTGGTGTCTACATTCTCTATCACCATAAAAATATGTGGTAAGCCAGGCATAGTGATACGTGCCTACAGTGCACGCGCAATACTCAGGTGGCTGAGACAGGGGTATCGGAAGTTTGAGGCTCATCTGAAAAAGTTTCATGCCATTCTCTGGGCTACATAGTGAGACGTTATCTCCAAAAACCAAAAGAGAAAGAGGAAACAGAAAAAAGAAAATGCTTAAAAGATGGGTTGTGCATACTTGTGAAATGTCATGTAAGTTTGGTGAGTACCTGTCAGATCTTCCTCCCTCCAGACTGTACCGAAGGTAGTTCATGCCATCCAGGAACTGACTGCTCGGCAGGGAGTCATCACCGAGCTCCTTAAGATCTTCTGGCCTGAGGTATTCTCCCCCGTCCCCTGTCACCGTGTCATCACCTGGAGGTAGTCAGATGACAGTGAAGGAAGACACTTGTTCACTTTACTATCAACAACAACATATGCTCATAGTGACAAAGTGCATTCACACAACACCTTGGATGACAGCAAAGCACTGGACATCAGGAAGACACAGGATCTAAGCACATGTCCTGATTCTCCTGAGTTTCCAGTTCTGTCCCCAGTCTGACACAGTCTGACACAATCTTTCCTAGCCTTTTCCCTATTACTTTGAGTCTTTCTTCTCAGGTTCCTTTGTCTGAAATGATATTCCTATATGACCCCTGCTATGTCCCATTACCACACATTATTAAAACTTCAAGGAACTCATATAATATACTCAGATAATATAACTCATATAATATAAGATGGTTCAAAACCATCTTAGACCTTTGTCTCCAAATACATATCTCAGTCTCCTCCAAGAATTCTGGACCTGGGTTTTCTGTAAGTACCTCACATTTAGCATGAGGAAACAAAATGTTTCTTATTTGTCCACTTCATTCCTCACCAACATACTTCTTGACAAACTTTCTATATGAGCCACTTGGATAGATAGCTATCTCCATGCTTTTAGAGAGAGAGATGGAGTTTATCTATCTATCTATCTATCTATCTATCTATCTATCTATCTATCTATCTATCTATCTATCTATCTGTATGTGTGATGGTCTGTACATGCCCTGCCTTGGGAGTGACATTATTAGAAGGTGTGGCCTTGTTGGAATAGGTGTGTCACTGTGGGTTTGGGCTTTAGGACCCTCATCTCAGCTGCCTGGAAGCCAGTATTCTGCTAGCAGCCTTCAGATGAAGATGTAGAACTCTCAGCTCCTCCTGCACTATGCCTGCCTGGACATTGCCATGCTCTTGCCTAGATGATAATGGCCTGAACCTCTGAACCTGTAAGCCAGCCCTAATTAAGTGTTGTCTTTAAAAGAAGAGTTTTTGGTTATGGTGTCTGTGCACAGCAATCAAAACACTAAGACAGTACGAATGCTTGGCCTGCATCCACGTATACCTGTTGGGTCCATGTGTATAACTGCTAGATCCCCTGGGACTAGGTTTATTTTTGTGGTGTGCCACCATGTGGGTTCTGAGAATCAAACCCAGGTCCTCTGCTAGTGGTTAAGTGTTCTTAATTGCTGAGCAGCCTATTTTTAAATGACAATCTGAATTTAAAACATCGGCTCTTATTTGTGTGCATAGAATTCTGTTCAACTTGGGAAGAACTTTGTTATTATATAATAATTGTTCACTGACATACACTCTATCATTAACTTATCTGGTATAAAACAGTCAGACACAATTGTTTTCCCTATATTATATAACAAACTTAATGTGAGTTTCCCTGTTGTTTCCTGTACTTGGAACAATGCCTTCCTAAATTATAGATGTATTCATTTAATAGATAACTCTCAGATTAATGAGTTCATTTTTTTGCTGTATTTTCTAGTTTTTCTAGACATTTTTGGGCAGCTCCTTCCTAGGTATTATAACATCAGCATACTGCAGTTTTTGTTGTGTTTGTTGTTGTTTTGGGGTATTTTTGTTTATTTTTAAGTAAAATTGATTTTGGTAATCTAAAACTACAAGATTCTACATGACTGGTGACTGGTATATTAGCCATGCCAGGACTCTGTGGAACACAGATATCAAGAATATGGGGATAAATTAAGATAAGATAGTATGATCACAAGGGTTACCCATCTTAATAACCTCTATGATGCTTGGATAGAGACTCTCTGAAATGTCACTGAGCTCCTGCTCTTGCCCTTGCTATTGAAATAGGAGGAGACCCGATGCCCTCTTCTGGCTTCTGTAGGTACTGCAAGCAAATGGTGAAGATACACTCATCAGACACACACACATAGTAAACCATTTAAAAGTGTGCATTATTACACACCTGGCCATCTCCTCACAACCAGTCCTTTCCTCCCTGAATAATTTTTAAAGATATTTACTGGTTAACTTATCTCTATTCTTGACTCTCTTTTAGAAAACAATCACATCTCTACTCCTAATTATATATTTGCTGAGACTGACCTTACTCTCCCATACCCTTTGAGACAGATTATCTCTACATAGTATAAATCTGGCTGTCCTGGAACAAACTACATAGACCAGGATGGCTTCAAACTCACAGAGATTTACCTGCCTCTGTCTTCTGAGTACTGGGAATAAAGGAATATACCTCCATGCTCAGCCTAGGGGGACCTTCATTGTCTGCTCTGAGTTATTCTCCTTCTTCTGCCTTCTAATTGTAACTACATATACATGCTGCCATATATGGCTTCTAATTTAATAATATATTTTTCTCATCTAAGAAGGGTAATTGTAAGCATTCACCTCACGTAATCTTAGCTGAAAGTATAGATAGTAACTTATAGATTAGTAACCAATATGTCATGCTTACTTCAGTATTAAAAAAATTGCTTTTCCTCAAAAAAAAAGTATTCATCTGGAGAAACATTCTTAAAATGTTCCTTTAAGAAAATAATTTTCTTTAATAGGTCTCCATAATAGCTGCTAAATAACTATAGAATAAGCAAATCATGGCTTTAAACTTACAAGTTAATAAAATACACACATGAAATGCACGCATGCACAACTCCACCCACATTACACAAGCTATTTCCAAAGAAATGTTAGTATCAATCAAAAAGATTTAAGACTTTGACAAGCTGCTTCTATGAAGCTAAGAAAAGTTAAAAGCAAAGAAAAGCAATCACTCCAAATCCTTCTTATGATACCTGAATCACTAAGTGCTTCCTCATCAATAAAGTGGTCACCAAACTGCTTAAGAGCTGTACAACATATGAACAGGAGTCAGAAAGACAATCCCACCAAAAGCATGGTACGCATACATGGATATTGGAACTCAGCTAGCAAATACTAGAACACAATGTAAACTCATAATAAATGCCCAGAATTGTGGCCTTTGGCAGGACTTTAAAAAATTACTCATCATCATACATTTATCCAACATTTGTTTATTCTTGTCATAATTCTTATGCACACTGACACAGCTCAGTACATATTGCCAATAAAAAGACAGACTGGTTTCAACTGGTTCCAAGTAAGCCTCATAATGTAAAGCTTTGCCTTGAGATTTCATGTCGAAAAACTTAAAGATGTATTTAATATTTTCTATAGTGTCTCTTTCTATCAGGCCCAGGAACATCCTCATGGCAATAATTTTGCAAAGATATGCATGCATTTCCATGTCGATTTGCAATGGCAACAGGTTTTCCAATCCCTATACACTGGCTTTGTTACTGGAGCTTGCAAACTCTATGTGGTGCTTCTGTAACCTCAGGGGACTTGTCTTTTGTTTGGTGGTGTTGTTCCTTTTTGTTTTGTTTTATATTTAAAAAAAATACAGGGAAATTCAAAATATAGAACAAAGAAAAGTCACTGAGGAGGTAGAAAAGAACCTCTGTTGTGTCAAGCATGGATTCTTATCCTACCCCCAGCCATCCCCTGCATATGTTTTAAGAAAAATGTTTTTTTCAGGGCCTTGAAATCAACTGTCTAGATTGGCAGTTCTCAACCTGTGGGATACAACTCCTTTGGTGGTCTCATATCAGATGTCCTTCATATAAGATATTTATATTATGATTCATGACAATAGCAAAATTATAGTTATGGAATAGTAACAAAAATAATTTTATGTTTAGGGGTCACCTCAACAGGAGGAACTGTATTAAAGGGTCACAGCATTAGGAAGGTAGAGATCCACTGGCTTAGGTAATTTTTACCAACTCTAAAACCATCATGAAAGTACAGATCTTGCCTGGCATGAGTGATGGCTTAGTCAATGTTGGGACTGTACTATTTGGTGTTGAGGTCATTTTATGCATTTTTAAGGCTCTTTTCTTCTGGGTTTATTATATTTTCTGACGTTTGTACTAATTAGAGACTTCTTAATATCCCATTGATGAAGAATGTTTTAAATTTTTTCAAGGCACATAAATACGAAATGTTTTGGTATAATTAGTATATGTATCAATAATGACCATAATATCAACCAGCTCTTTTTAGCACATGGCTGATTTCAAGTTTTTCTTAATTCCCCATCTTACTAGTCATTAGAGGTTAAAGGTAATAATGACAAAGATACATAGACCTGACTTGCCTGTTTTTTCAATGGCAAGAGCAAATTTAGTGGACTAAAGATTGCAACCTGGTTTTAAATGTTAAGATGCTTCCATCCATACTACCACCTTTGTCTCTAAAAAAAAACTTTTCATTCCTTTGTGTAAGAACGTGACAGCTGTCACAAAAGACTACAGGAAAGACTCACCCTCTTCATCAGAAACATCAAGAACCTCCGTCATCGTCTCAGGAACATTTAACTTATGTTTTTCCGTGATAGTCTAGAAAGATAAAAATCATTCATTGCAAAATTAAAAACAAGGCCAGACAAAAGATGAACAGAGCCACAGAGGTGACCCCTGTCTATGGCCACAGCAAGTTATCAGACTTCAACCACCCTATCTCATCCACACGGACATTTGGAAACTTTCTCTCTCTCATGAAAACTCCTTTGTTCTCTCTGAAGATAAATGACCAATGGTTCCAGGAACATTGTACAAGAGGAGATTCATTACTGTTAGTTCTCTTTTGAAAAATTGAGTCTTTAGTAATGGTGCTTGTAATTAGTCATACTGGGAAACCAAACTAATGACTTCAAGACAACTCTAAGATGAACTAAGTGAAGTTTCCAGAGAAGCTTTACAATGAAGCAATAAACATGCAATGTAATAAAAGCAAAGCCCATCAGAAAAATGCTGTAAACAAGGTAGGCTATGTAAATTATATCTGACACGTGTCTGCAGGGGTTAGAGGACCAGCATTAAAGAATAAGTCATCTTTAGAGCGTTCACAGTCTACAGTTACAGTTTATTGCTTATTGGCATTCTACAGGGCTGTACTGAGTGGCCAACTGCAAGGCATTTCATAAGAGATAAGAAGCAGAGAGATCAAGCTTCTCTGGTTGCATGGCTTCCAGTAGTAGACTCATCTCATGAGCTGCAAGGCTTCAGCGAGTCTTTTAACGTGGCTATGCCACAGTTTCCTTGTTGAAAACCACAGACTAATGTCCCATAAAACTGTTATGAATGCTAATACAGGAGCATTAAAAGCAGTCCTCAGAGTCGGCTCGAAGTCATTAAACATCATCTGGAATAACTGGTCATTGTAATTGAAAATTACATTCATCTGAGAAATGATGGGCCTCAGAAGTTGTTAGTCACTTGTGCAGCAATGAACTCCATGATCGTTATATCCCAAGCACACCACAGTGATTTCAAAATGAAAAAAAAAACAAAAAAGTCTGGCACAGAGAGACAAATGTCATGTGACTTCATTAATTGGGGAAATTGTTTAAAAGCCCAAAACCTAGAAGCAGATAGTAGAACCATATTTACCAGGGTGAAAGCAGGCAAGAGAGATGTGGGCTGGTGTTCAACAATTCAAAATGTCAGTCAAATGAGCAAGAAGTGGAAGATATATGTGACGCACCATGCTGGTCATACAGTACCACAGTCTTTTCTCCATTATTTTTCTGAGAGTATTATATATTTCAGACTGGCCTCAAACCTATAAACGTGCTATATGTAAGAACAACCCTGTAACTCCAACCCTTCTATCTCCACCTCCCAAGGGCCTGGATTGCACATGTGCACCAGGATAGCTTGTTTAAGATGTATTGGTGACCAAACCCAGAGCACGCATGCACACAGACACACACATACACATACACACACACACAAACATACACAGACACACACTTTGTACACACACATACAGACACACACAGACACACACTTTGTACACACACACACACACACACACATATATATATATATATAAAATTTGAAGTGATAAAATTATGTTAAAATCCACCAAGTGACAAAACAGGTTTTCTTTTGAGTGGAATATTTGTTTAAAGATAATACAGAAAGTAAAAGGCCAGAGAATCTCATGGTGTATAGGTAATGGCACAATTGAAGCTCATGTTAATAAGTCCAGCCTGCCTATATGACTCTTGGGATGTTTGCATAAGGCCATAGGTATTGATTTAATGGAAGCAAACTAAATAAATGCTGCAAGAAAGAGAAAGCCAAGGTCTAATGACCTCACCAAGATTAGATAGCAGATAAGCATCTATGAAGTGAACAAATTTAAATGACTTTTATAATACAGTATTTTATTCTTAGTTGAGCATTTCAAATTTGAGCTATAATTTTAGCTCAGTTAAATTATAAACTATATATCACAGTCTTCATCTCCAGCTGTGCATTAGAATAATGAAAAGCAGGTTTTTTTATTAGTAATTTTTTAATGTTAATCAAAGGCTTTATAAGTTTGGTAATGCTCAATAACAAGATGCCCATACAATCAGAAGTGTAATCCAAGACTCAACCTAGATATATCAACTACCTTTGACTGCCGGAGACATGGGAACATCCACCTCCGTGTTCCTCTCTTTCTCTCTCTCTCTCTCTCTCTCTCTCTCTCTCTCTCTCTCTCTCTCTCCCTCCCTCCCTCCCTCCCTCCTTCCCTCCCTCCTTTCCCCTCTCTCTCTCTCTCTCTCTCTCTCATATCTTCTACCTCTTCTCCTTCTCCATCTCCTCCTCTCCTTACTCCTTCTCTTCCTCTCCTTACTCCTCCCACCTTAGCTCCTCCTACATATCACCCTTCCTGTTAAAATAAAAAAAAACCTTTTCTCTCAAAATACAATTAGAACATAACTATACCAATTTGTATCAGTAAGGTACAAGATAGACCTAATACCTGGAAAAGCAGTTTTAAAATATGGCTGCTTTGAGCAGAAAACGTGGCTAAGATGGTATAATGCCTGCTGCAGAACCATGAGGATCTGATTTCAGATCTTGGGCACCCGTGTAAAACCCAAGTGCAAGGGCACATACTTATAATGCCAGAGCTGGAGACACAGGGAGATCCCAAGAGCTCACTGGTCATAGCTAAATCAATGGACTGCAGGTTCAGGGAGATCCTGCCAGAAAACCTAAGACAGATAGTGATTGAGGAAGACGCTGCATATATAGACCTCTGACCTTCAATTGTGCACACACACACACACACACACTTATAAAATTCTGCTGCTACAGTCTCAACATACAATAATAATAAGTCTGCATTCTGAGTATAAGATCGAGCTAAGAGCATTTTAAAAAAAATCCCATTTAGTTCAAGACTAGCCTTGGCTAGAAAGTGAGGACAGCAGAGGTTACATGCTTAGACCTAGTCTCAGGGGGATAAAAATCCCATTTAGTTACATTATGCAACTCAATTTAAGGATTATATTTTAGCCTTAAGAAGACTGCCACACTATAACATATCCTACTACACTTTTCTGAAACATTTTAAAATAAGTGTCTAAATGTAAATAAAATGATTTAATAATGTGGCTATATCTATTGCATATGACTAACCAGGAAGTTCGTTGTTAGGTGAAAATGTTCCAGAATAATTAACTGTCTTCCAAGGCAATTATTTCCACAAGAAGGTGTGTCTCCGTTTGAGAGTAAACGGCTGTGTGGCATTTCAGATGTTGGTAGTGTAAGAGCATACTTTTTTTGTTGTTGTTCTTGCAAGAATGAACAACCATGCTGCTTTCTTTAGAATTAAATTCTGTTATATAAGAATATGTGTATGGCAAGATCAAAAGCAGCACACAGTAATCGTTTCACTCACAGATATTTTTCTGAATACCCACAGTGCCCTCAATGTAAAATGCTATTTATAGTATGTATTTGAAGTTGATGTACTCCCAGACTTCACAGGGAATCAGCGAATGTTTGTTAAATGCATAAATAAATCTTCCTCCTCATGAATAATGTCATTAGATGTAGCATATAATTTTCTTTTATAATAAGATGTCCTTAAGATATTTGTTTACTGATATACAAGTATTATTTTGAACAACTGCACTTGAACAGTGTATGGAGAATGAAGCTATAATTCAAGGATCATGGACTTCTCTTTCTGCTGCAGAATCCAAGATGTTATGGTCAAGATAGGACACTACTTTAAAAGTTAAAATAAAATAGTATGCTATGCACAAGATTAATGAGATATAATTAAGTCAGACAATGAGTCACTCATCATGATATGGAAAAGCATAGAAAATAAAATATGAACTGTTATCATGGTATTTTATAAATACAGGCTAATATCTGGTTTTCCCTGTGTGGTGGAAAACTGTATGCTTCACTAACCAGGCCTAGTCAGCCACCCCATCCCCACCCCACTCCACTCCCAGCCTGCCAATCACTCGTTTTATTCACACACTTCCCAAGCCACCATAGCACAGAGAGCGAGCCTGGCCATCATGTGACCTTTCAACACTCTCCCCCTTTGGCTGTCATCAGGTCACCTGCAGGCTAGACCTCTTTTGTTGGTGTCAATCATATTTGTTAATATAACTTTCCTAGCTAGATAAAATATTAAATGTATAATTGACTTTCTATAAAAACTAAGATAAGTACTCTAGAAAGTTTCAACACAGGTGGGTCTCCCCAAATAGCTACTACCTAATTAGCTGTGGGTGAGTCAATTATAAATGATTTAGAAAACAAAATATGTCAGAAAAATGTAAGGATTGTGTATGCCACCTGTTTCTTTAAGAGAACATACAGAATGTATAAATGTATAAAACATTTTTAAAGATGTATTTGTTTTTAATGTGTATAAATGTTTGCATTCATGTATGCACATACATTGCATACATGCATGGAACCTAAGGATTCCAAAAGAGGGCTTCAGCTGCACTATAGGGGCTATAGGCAGTTGTCAAGGGCCATGTGGGTACTGGGAACTGAATTTGGGCCTTTTCCAAGAATAGCAAGAGTTAACCACCGGGCCATTTCTTCAGCCCCAATAAGTTATCTACATGTTATAAATTATATACACACATGTAGTGAATATTGATGGTGTTTGGGCAAAGATGACAATTTAGCCATCTGAACAAGGGATTACATTAACAGAAAAAAAATGGCCATTGAACGATGTCAAATGACATCACCCGTATTCATTTTGTTGACTCCTTTAACAGACATGGTATCAAATCAAATTAGAACGTGAAACCTACATTTTCTTCACTGCTTTAAGAAATCTTTCCTAATGATTAAAGGGTTGTATATTTAATATAATTTATGTGTGGTAACTTTGGGTAATTTATTAAATAATTTATGTTCTACTTAGTAATGATTATTTACCACATAATACATCATTTTAAAATTACACAAACAATAAAAACAGTTGATGATAGTGGATTACATGGAAGCATGAGTCATTTTTCACAGTTTTTCCAATCTTAGTGGATCACGCTTGTTGGCTATTGTTGCTGGAAATATGTCCCCATTCTGGCAAACTTACAGGGGCTTCATCCTTAGACAATGCTGAACTGCCTCGCCTCCCCTGCTGTGTCTCTCAGTATAAATTTAGAACAGCCAAGGTTAAGGAAACAAGCCACGATTCCACAGAGTCTGGGCAATCTGGGCTGAAGCAGCTCTCTTTTACAATCCCCTGCCTAGCTCTGCTTTCACACAATGCCTGCATTCATACGCTGGGGTAAAGAACTTGGGAGAGAAGTTTCTTTCTCCACGGGAACTCACGTGGCTGCACACGTGGCACACTCTTTAAATGCAAGCAACAGGAGATGAGTCCATCGCATAATTCAATGACTACACTTAATGGTAACCTCACCATGTGATTCACTAGACCTTATTATGAAATGCCTTGTGCTGCTTGCTATCCTCAGAGCGCTGGTGTTTGTTTGTTTGTTTCTTTGTTTTAGAAAATGACATTAAATATGCCATACCAGTGAAAAACAATAAAGTATACCTCTTGGGTGGTATTTTTGGTTGAAAACTAGTTAGGAATTGTTCTTTCACAACATTTTGGCTGAGCTGCTTTTCGGCGAAATCAAGATTAATTATACTGGCATGGTTAGAAAAGCCGCCTCTGTGATTCAGCAGCTTACATCAAATTCCAGATGTGTCACTCCACATCCAGGATACTACTAATCTTACATATTAATTATCTGAGGTATCATAGACAGCACACTATGGAGAGAAGAAACTATGGAGAAAAAGAACGAGCGCACATCACCTCCCAATGGAAAGTGCACTGCAGGAAGAGAACCCATCCACGATTTTCAGCTTTAAATTCCATGTCAAAAACCAAACCTACAATCCTATCAGGAGCCAGTTAAGAGAGCAAGAAAAGAAAGATAAAGCAGGATCAAAACAGGTAGCCAGTAGTTAAAAGCACTGGCTGCTCTTCCCAAGGACCTGGGTTCAATTCCCAGCACCCACATGGTGGCTAACCACCATCTAACATTCCAGTTCCAGAGGATTTTATGCCCTCGGAGGGTACCCGGCATGCACATGCTACACAGACATATACATAAGCAAATACCCATACACATAAAACAACAGCAACAACCCATGACACCACTAATACAACCCCCTTAGATAAAACAGATTGCATGGAAGTTGGTTTACTTACTGTGAGTGATATACCTTAGCTGAAATCTGATAGTCTATGTGTTATTTACAGTTTATTGGCTTTTTCACCTAGAAATTTGAATTCTAAGTATGGTGGGGTTTTTATTTTTCAAATAATGCCCCGCATTAAAATGAATATAAATAATAACATAGTAATGAATAAAACATAATAAAATATAAATAAATAAAGAGCAAGAACTCTTAAAATGTCCTAAAAACAGTTGCCTTGTATTTGAGCTAACCATTGGAGAGAGGACCTTCCATGCCTGTCCTGTACATTTGATTTCTGACCAGCCATCAGATAGCTTGCTTAGAGATGGTAAGTAGCATTTTTTAAAAATCAGCAGTGTGTGTTGAGGGGATGCACTTCACCTGTGTAACTGCAGAACACACACCGAGGTGCCTAGAGGGTAGTCTAGGGCTGTCAGTCTTAACTGTCCACCTTGTTTGAGATAGGACTGCATTGTTTGCTGCTGTGAACCTCTTGTTAGCTGGCCCTCCAGCTTCTGGAAATTCTCCTGCCTTTACCTCCAATCCTATCAGAGGAGCACCAGATTTAAAGATATGTGTTAGCATTATATGAGATCTGGGGGTCCAAATTTAGTTCTTACCTGCAAGAACAGTGTGCTAGCCACTGAGCCATTTCCCAGCCTTGCAATTAGAATGTTTAAATTAAATGCTAGTTGCTTCTGTTTTAAAATACATGTCTTTATGTTTAAGATCATTTTTTCGATTACTATTTATTCACATCAAATCTTGTGAAAGTTTCCCAAAGATGTGAAGTTTCCCAATGTTGTTGATGCAAAAAAAGAATATATTTTTTCTCTGTGTCATGCTTCTTCCCCCTTCCCCCTTCGCTTGGGCAAAGGAGCTGGTTAGCACCACTGATACTTTTCAGCAAGTAGCACAGAGGCCTCTCACATCTTTCCTCCAATAAAGAAGAAATGTTACTTATCAAATGAATGAGGAGGGGGTGGGGCCAAAAGAGGGAAAGAGCCACAAGGCCGCCATCTAGCGGCAATTCAGTGAAAACACATATCCATGATTCCCAGTGCAGAAAAAGTAACAAAGTAGGCAAAAACAAAACAAAAAAACCCCAAACCAAACCAACAAGCAAAATCAAGACTTCTGACAGTACATATGCTCAGCCAATCTTGTCACTAAAGCCTTCATTTCTTCCGATGTGCATGCTATTCTGAGGTGACATTGTCAGGTAAGTTTTCATCTGAAGACGTTCCTCTTACAAAAAAGTCCCATATTTTTAAAGCAATTAAGACTCAGGCATATTTGAGGAAAAATAAATTTAAAAAAAGACTCAGGCATACAGAAAGACCTTAAATATTCTTACCACAAGAAAATGAAGGTTTGAGGGGATGGACAAATTTATCTCCATTTAAGTAACACATAATGGAAATGCATAGCACTGCATGACATTGCAGAAACCAGGGCTTTTTTCTGAATTAATTTAAAATGTTTAAATGGAATATAATTTTTTTTTAAAATTCCCTGGCCATATATAATGACCCCGAAGTAGGGAGATGAACACTGACAAGACTTTTCTTGTATATAATTTACCAAATCTATACTTTAGATCTTTATAACTGCTGTGTGTACCGGCTAAAGGTGGGTCTGCTAGAAAAGTGAGCAGTCAGCTGCCTCCCCTCTGGAAGTTCAGCCGATAATGTGTGGCCCATTAATTATTCATACTCTACTCTATTTAAAACTGCATCACATCACATCAACTGTATTCTGTCTACTTCAATGGCTGTCAACGGGGACTTTCCATCAGCCCGTGAAACAAAATTCCTTTCTTTTCCCTCCCATCAGTGAAAAGAAGCGAGTGTTCCCAACACTGCGTGAATCAGTCCTAGCGGGGACCATTTACTAGAACCTTATTCTGAATACTTTGTTGATTTGTGGTTTTATTGTTTCCATAGAACATCTCATGTTTTGCTGTTTCTCTATAAAGATAAATTTAAAAGCCATTGTTCATAGAATCCATGCTTAAGTTAAAGTTAAAAAAAAAAATTCTCCCTGGAGCCTATGCAGAGATCAGGACGCCTCCTGGTCAGGGACTTTTTCTGGCAAAAGCCAATGATCATGACTTCTGCCTCCTCAAGGATCAATAGTCATTTTAAAGCCAAGGAAATAAAAGATTTTAGGCATACACTAGACATCTGCAATTTTCTTTTTGGATTCTAAAAAAAAAAATCATCAGGCATAAGAAAGAAAAGAAGAAATGTAAGGATGCCTGCTTGTGGGCAGAAGTGCATTTGACTAGTAAGGGGGTCTTTTCAGATGCCACCTGACCTCTAGGCCAAGTTGAAGTTGGCTACAGAGTGTGGTACCTCTCTGCCAGCAGTAGGTGTCACACATACCTAGAGGAATGAGATAGAGGAAAAACAGCCACAGGGAAAGGGTACTTTTCTACAGTTACAAAGCTACATCCATGAATTTTATTTGAAATTATATTGAGTAAAAGACAGAATCCTCATATCTGTTGGTGAATGCATGTGTAGCTTCATATTCCCGAGTCTATCTCACAATGCATTCAACAAAAGAAGTTCGACACGAAATCTGCAAACACTGAGTGAAAAGCATGTGGCGGGAAAACCAAGAGGACAGGAGCAGATCAGTTGTCTCGGTACTCACCGTGGTAGTGGTGGTGACCTCTTCAGTCACAACCTTCAGGGTGTCAACCACGGAGATGTAGCCCAGCCGCTTAGCAATCGCCAGGGCTGTGTTACCATTCTGAAGAGAGAGAAAGAGGGGAAGAGTGAGAAAGGCTAGGGAGGACTGCCTTGGGAGCCAATGAGCTCACCCGTGGTGCTGCATGAGCCAGCACTTCCTTCCAAAACAAGGCACAGCTCAGGAAAATCACTAGTTTTTACCATTACTTCTAAATCTGTCTTTGTAACTTCTTTAGACTATAGCCCAGGTCACCATGGTAACACAACAAGCTTGCATCTGCCTGCTCTTTTTAATAAGAAGCACTTGATGCTTTAACCCTGAGGTTGTTGAGCAGCTCCAAATGCTATACTGGCTTTCTGAAGAAGCCACCTTTCAAACTGAGGGTGGCATCTGCCAGAACTACTAGGGAGAACCTGGTACACTCATTGCTCACCAAGAGTCAGGCCATCTGCTGCAGGTAAGATGTTACCATAGGGACCCAGTGACAGATTTAGCCTCTGCACTGCAGGAGCTCCAGTGCTGCAAAAACTATACAAGCTAGCAATTCTGGCTGCATCCAGCCCAGGCCACTGGGGACCCTGTTTGTTTAATTACACCGCTTAGTTTACATTTCAATGGCTCCACCGTCCCAAAGAGGCAGTTCCAAGCCAGCCAGCAGCTCAGAAACTGGGCTCCCTTAAGAAGACAAAGAGAGAGGGGTTGGAAAAGTGCTCACATCTGAGAGCCAGCTGTAAGCAAAACCCTTCCAGCAGCCCAAGTGAAGGGCCCCACTCCCAAGGGAGCTAACTGACTTCCTTCCTAGCAAGTACTCCCCCAGAAATCACAGACTTCTAAAAAGAATTTTTTTCTCCCCAAATCTGGGGCTTTCCACAGTCCAGGAGTTTGTTTAAGGGGGAGGTGCCGTATTTAATCTCTGCATATAAAACACCAGGGCAAGAGAAGAGGAGGAAGAAGAGGAGGAGGAAAAGGAGGAGGAGGAAGAGGAGGAGGAGGAGGAGGAGGAGGAGGAGGAGGAGGAGGAGGAGGAGGAGGAGAAGGAGGTAGAGGAGGTAGAGGAAGAGGTAGAGGAAGGCAGAAGAGAGGGTCATGTCATGAGAGTTCCTTACCGCAGTGGTGGCGTTAGGCTTGGCCCCGTGCTGGAGCAGGACATTAATGATGTGTGTGTGGCCCTGCTGGGCAGCTTGGTGCAAAGGTGTGTAGCCATTCTGTTGATCACGGTGGCACGGATTCGTAGAGGGAGAAGGAAATTAGGTTAGCCTTCAGTTTCAGTTCCCTTGTCTTACTCACCGCAAACCCATCAAGGACCTCATTATTTATTTAGAGCACAATTTCCCCAGCAACCCATTTCTCAGCAGCAAACACTCCCTCACACCTTATGTCAGACTATGAAACACAAGATAAACAGACTCCAAATTATAACTCTTATTATATTTTAACTGATTGGCATTTAAAATGCTTACGCCAAGAGAACATTAAAAAATGAGGAAGAACAATACAACCATGAGATAATTCCTTAAAAAAGATGAAGACTGAGGTGCTGTCTAGCTGAAGGCTGCTGAGGGTCACACAGGCTGCTGTTAGTTAACAGTCCAAATACCCCGTAGATCTACAACAGTGAAAGAGAATCAAATATCATGCTCAACTCGGGAGAGGGCTACAGTTATAAAAGCCTGCATGTGAAAACTTTAGAATAGAAAACTTCATTGGAATCCCAATGCTCTGTCCCAATAAAATGTGTCTTTAAAAACTAGAATTTTGAGCTGGGTGTGGTGGCACACATCTTTAATCCCAGCACTCAGGCGGCAGAGACAGGTGGATCTCCTGCCAGATCTAGGACAGCCTGGTTTACAGAAAAACCCTGTCTCCGAATCAAAAACAAAAACAAACAAAAATGAATTTTGACAGTGTGATTGAAACTTTCATGGAGATGAAAGACCCTGACTTAGAAGGAATTGCTGTTAGGATTAGTGTGAACCAGTCTTGCAGACACATGTAATAGTTGACTGGTGGCACAAGTTAGTTATGTATCCATGTTAACTCAGAATTTTCACTAGAATTCTTGATGGTTGGATAGGAGCCAGTGCCTGGGCATTCAATGTGTGCCAGACACTGGACCTTATCTTCATCATCACACTTGCAGGGCTTGGCATGTAAAAGGTATTTTGTAAATAGCAGTTGACTAAATGAAGGGTGAGCAAGTGATTCAGAAATAAATATTTTTCTCCCCATCTCAGAGATGGTGAAACTGGAAATAATAAAGTTAACCAATTTCTCCACAATCACTGAAGGATCAGATCCTCTGTGGAGGATCATGGAAACCAGAAGCTACTTGGCAATGCCCAGAAAAAAAAAATTATTTGTATCAGAGCCCATTGTGTTAAGCTGTAACTTCTAAGTGGTCCATTTGTAAACATTATGTTTAAAATAATATGCACATACATGTGCACATTTCATCCAGTGTCAGAGTCAACTCATGGCCAACATGCATATTTGGTCATTTTGACAATATGAAGTCTCTGATTATATTTGTGAGTGTCATAAGATCCCACGTAAACAGTCACAGTGGCTTTTCTGTGTGTGGGAATATAATCATGTGTGAGTGTCTTTCTATCCAGGTGTTGGAAACTCTGTCACATTAGAAGTGTAACTCTGGCTATTGATCCCTACAATAAAGTAACCCCAAATCCCTGAGAATACAGTTCATTTACAGAGCCTCATAGTACCCAACAGTCATTACAGAGACCCTGCTTTGAGATCAGACAATCAATCCATGAACAGTTGAGAAGGGCAAAATAGTGATATTTCCTAAGAATTCTTCCTGTCTATTTTAGGTATAATATTCTATAAAATGAATTTAACATACTTCATTATAACCCAAGTTAGTTCAGTTACCAAGCATTTACCAACCATGTACTACATAATAAATACTTAAACATATAAAGAACATTCTATATGCTAAACTAATATATATTAGTATACCATAAAGATAGATTACCTACAGCTACATAGATAATGCTAAATATAATTAGTCATGAGAAAATAACAGTCTGGTCCCACAGTAGACCATATATGGAGTCCTCAGTGCCCACTGTGATCTGGTAAATGATCCCTGGGTATGATTTAGTCTAACCTTTACCTGAAGCTGTGGTGAGTGAGAGTATATACTGGAAGTTTGAGCAGGTCTATAATTTTACACGAACGTTGGCTAGACATTTCTGTGCCTCTCCAACTCATCAGCACACCCGCCTCAGACCTAGTTTCTTCTACTAAGGATGAGCAAAGCTTCAAATACCTTACACTTCTGTTCTCTCACTTATAATACAGAAGTGGCTGAAGTTCCATCCTTCAAGAAGGACCAGATAAAATTTCCGTGAAGATATGAGCAGCTGATGAGAATTATATGCAAATGCTAGCAAACTGTGTTGTCTCCTCACTTCCCATCTTAGTATCTTTGCAGCAAGCCAGGAGAGGACCATTTTGTACTGCAGTTTAAACCCCTTTCACGAGTTAATTCCCTGTAAGTCCAGTCTGTTTCAATCTAATATGACAGGGTTTCATTATAATTCTAAGCAAATAATGATTTCATTTTTAAAGGTTTACGTTTCTCAATTTTTATGCCAAGTTGAAAGGCAGTACATATGTTTGCATTTGAAAAGCAATTAAACAATTCTTTGGTAACTATGGTTACACATAAAATATCAGGAAGAAAATATAATTCCTTCTGCAAAGGTATCCTTCCATGAGGAAAAATTCTGGAAACTTTATTAACAGATTGCCTATTAAGGCATTCACCAATTTACTCCACTGAAATATATGGCCCCAAAGGTCACAGTAAACGTTATATAGTTTATCTAAAAAAAAAATACCTAAAATGTTAAAATGAGATTTTTTCCCCTCTTTATCAAATGTCTGTTTGACAAAGATCTAATTCCACAGAGGCCCAAACAATACAATATATCTAATTATTAAAATCATCTCAGTGAGCAAATGCTCACTAAAACTATGTAAACCTTTGGTAGTACCACCAATGTCTCATTGCATGGTACATTGGGACATTTTAGCCTGCTGTGGCTGCATGTATGAGCTGCCTCAACAAAAATGGTGTTAGGAACTAAAGTCTGAGGAGCCATATGTAAGCACCCACAGTAGAATAGGTTGATTGTCAAGAAGGAAACTGAATATATATTTTACCTTGGTTTTCGCATTGACATTTGCTCCCTGTTTCAGAAGAAAGTTGACCATTTTCACATTTCCGTAGTGACAGGCCACGATTAAAGGTGTGTAACCAAGCTGTGAATGACAAATCCCAAAGTGTAAGTATTATACTTCTAGTAATTAATAACCACAGGGTAAGGTCTCAGTTATTGTACCCTGGTATCCTTTGAGTGTGAATATAGGGTGAGCAGTCGCTAACCACACAGAACTTTACATCAGCAAGGGACACCTGGGAGACTTAACTTAGCTACAAGAACTGAGAACGGGAGGCTATGTCAGTGGGAGGAAGAAGAGTCCTGTAGAACAAGTATGTAGAGATGGCAAAGGATGGTGGGAAGAATGTAAGAGGTTAAGATGGAAAGATGTACAACAATGTCTTCTGGACATAACACACCCATGGCACTCATAAACTTACTCAGCCGCTATTATCTGCCTGAGACTTGAGTGAGATTGGGGCCATCAATATTTCATCCTGAATGAGAGAGGAGACCCAGGAGGCCCCATCCCTTCCCGAGGGACTATCAGCAATTGACACTTGTTTGGGGCACAGTGTCACTGTCTTCAGTAGTGTAGCTATAGAGAAAGTGCCCTTGCTCCATGGAGTAACTTCCCACCGATGTTCATACAAGTAAGTCTAATTAAAATCAGCAGTTAAAGCAAAAAGAAGGCAGGAAAGGGGGACAGGAAGGGAGGAGTGAAGATGACAATTCATTATATTATATATACAAATATATATAATATATCTTATATACAAATATATAACATATTATATATTAGTATAAATATACACATAAATAAATATATAATATAAAATTGAATATCACATATATATGATATATGTGATATACAATATATAATATATATGATATATACAATCATATATATATGTGTGTGTGTGTGTGTATATGTATATATATATACATATACACACACAAAAAAAAAATAAGTGATACTAAAACAATTTAAAAAGAATGGGTAAGTAAACAACAGCACAGAGAAGACCAATCCACCTCAAGACCAAGGGCACAAAGCAGACCAAGGACAGGCCAAACCAGTGAGGTATATGTATGAGTTAAAGCCAACATGAGAGGGTAGGCAGCACCCTGCAGAACTGGTACTTAAGATGGATCCTGGGGCCACTTTCATCTGACTCATATCAGACCCAGGGAATCATGGAAAGGCTTATACTTTAGAATAAACTTTTAAGAAGAGGGACCTTGGGCTTAGCTGACCAAGAATCAGCCGAACCGGAACGAGTGGCAACACTGCCAAGAGATCGGCTGTACCTTTGTGTAGGCGTCCCGATCAGCCCCATGTTTGGTGAGAATGTCGGCAACGTTCACTTTATCTTCTTGGGCTGCAAGGTGTAAGGATGTGAGTCCACTCTGTAGCAGGAATGGAAGCAAAGGAAGACATCAGAGCGGGAAACACGCGGTCACCTACAGCATCGTGTCTGGAAAGGAGCTGGGAAGCATACGGCCCTCTCCAGACATCTCATCGCAAGTTTTAGACAAATGGGTGGAGTAAATATAAGTTTTCAGCCAAGACCTACTCTCTGCAGCAAATTACATTTTCTGTACTTGGTATTTATGACTTGAGTCCTTAAAAATAATTCAGCTAACGAGATTCCAAGCAATATTCATTTCAAGCCTACCTACAACTCCTCATGAATCTTCTTGTTTACTTAAATAATGGACCAAAAATATTGCTGAAACTTTATAACCTCGGCAATCATCAATATTTTCATCAATAAAGTGTCATAGTAATGTTAAAAATATATTGAGTTACTGGAAGTAAGTTCAAAATATTTTTTTTCAGTTTACTCTAGAGGCACGGAGCTATCTTCAAGATGTTTTTTTTTTCTTTTTCTTTTTGTAAAGTAACCCTATCATTTATATAACAACCTAAAAAACATGGCAATTTTTATACAGACAAGTTTATTCTTTGAGTATCCATCAAATGTGTTGATTTGCATACATGGATAAAGTACAGTCAAGAATTAATTGAAAAACATCAAGGACTAGAGAGAGAAGCAGCTTATCCGGCTGAAGCCACACCCTGGCAGTCTCACTATATACAAATAAACAAAACTGACGATAAGGGCATCAGATACGTTTGTAGCAGGTAAATTTTGAGTACTTTTTATACACGGGATTTGGCCATAGCTATGAGCCAACTTCCTGCCTCTATAGCCCATGGTCTTGCTTACAGTATACCCAGGCTATGTGTTCCACTCTTCCAACTAGCATGCCGGTATCCTTTGTATTTACCTGTTTTTAGTATTTTCAGTGGGTAGTAGTGATTGGCTGTAGGACCTCAGGCATATCTCACAAATGCTGCACTATCGGGTTACAACCTTAACTCCCTTTCTACCTTTTATTATAAAACAAGTCTCACTAAGGGACCCAGGCTAGTCATGGCCTTAACAACTCAGGAAGGCTTTGCGTTTATAAGTTTCTGGCTTCACCCTCTTAGTAGCTGGGAATACAAGCCTGTGCCATCAAACATTGCTAACAATGTCAGACCTGTAAACTGAGGTAGGTACCTTGTCCAAGGTCAGTTGGCATCCTGGTTAATTGGCCTGCCCCACTGACCACTGCTGGAAGGCTCATTCTCTCCTCTAGCATTGAGGCTGAGAGAACTGAGCATGGCGTTCAGACTCCACGGCTGCCAGCATGGTGGTGCTCTGAGAAATTAACAGACACTCTAATCATTGAAAACATGGGATCACCTGCCACCTACAGACTTTGCAGGTGTAGCTGCTGTGTCATATGTAGGTCAGTAGGTGGCAGAGAGGAGAGCGGTTATATCTATGTTCAGTATTCTGACCTTTGAACATCTGAATGATTAGTAGCTTAACATTCCCTGAAAAAAAGAGAGCCTGAGAGAACTACCAGTCTGGCACCTTGGAACTGGGACAGGGAGCTAGCCTGAGACAACTGCCTGTCTAGTGACAGGAAGGGCCAGAAGGATTCACAGAACAGGGAGCAATTTAAAGGCTTGAAGAACCCCACCTGGGACCACAGCCCCCAGATGGAAGTGATCACAAGACAGACAGCCCTCACAAGGGGTCACGTAGGCAAGCCAGGAGAGGACCAAGCCCAAGACAACCACCAGACCAGTGCTATAGGACCCAGAAAGGGAGCTAGCTTGAAATAGTCACCAGTCTGGTGCTGTGCAGACCTAAAGGAGTAGGCACGCCCAAGATGACCCTTGCCCACTACCATAATGCACAAACAGGGCATAGCACTCCTAAGTTCAACCCCAGACATACGGAGACTCAGGGCACCACTAAGAGGAACAAGGAAGTTGTGGAGAAATAAAATAGAAAGAGAATCAGAAGGATGTATGCACAATAGGCAGAAATGGAGACCCGAGGGTAGTGAGGAGCAGCCTGAGGTGAGTAGCCCGTGATCCCACCGGGGACCAGGGTGGGCTCCTAACCTGTGCTACTATCAGAGTCCATGGCTCTGGAGCGGCAGGCATCTGGTACCACTGTCTGAGGAGGGTACAAACTGATCCCACCCTGCACCTGGGAAGAGCTGGCCCTGGGGACATGACAACAGGAGAGGTGACCCTGCCCCTGGCTGGCTGCTATACTCAGGGAGTGCCACCCCACCCCCTAGACACACACACATTTCTGGAGTTGCAGATGAATAGCCCCAAGAATACCATCATGGGATAGCTGGCCCTTCCACCTGTCTCCCATGTAGTAGTCTGGATGAGGGAGAGATACTTTTGTCCCCTCTCAGCCATAACCTCCTGCAGCAGGCAGTAGACCTAGCCCTGGGGTCGTGAGAACAGGAGAGTTGTCCCTGTTCCGTATCTGCTGCAGCACTCAGGAGAGCAGGCCCTGTATTTCACCTGGGCAGCACAATAGAGCCAGCCCTAGATATGAAGGTTATAGGTGAGCCAGCCCCCAGGGTGAAAGAGGGAGAGTCAGCAGGCTGACCAGCTCAGATACTTCTCAGGCTCAGATACAGGGCTTTGAATTAGTTCACCCCAGCATCTACACCATCCGTGAACTGCTGGAGTGCACAAACAGGCCAGTCCTACAGATCCAAACACAAGGCAACACCAGGATATCTGAGAGGAGTCCCATTGAGGTCCCAGTATAGAACATTTGCCAGCAAAAATGTGTAGACAAAAGGGTGTACTCTGGACATGCTGTGTATGCTATGGCTTCCATGATGAAATTTTCATTTTCTGTGGGGGGTAAGGGGTAGGGGTAGGTCACAAGGATAGAAGGTGGATATGAAGAGAGGGGGAGACAGTGGGACTGGGGTACATTATGTGAAATTCACAAAGAACCAATAAAAACTTAAAACAAATTTAAAAAAAGAAAAGATGGGTGTCCCATGCAGACAGAACATTCTACAACTTCACAGGGGACTTTCATTTTAGGGGCTAGCACTTGTTAATCCTTGAGCAGCTTAGCTCAACTTCGTTTCACAAAACATCAGCCTGACAAAGAAATCTGGTTTGCATGAAAATTCTGTCACTTACAAACAATTTTTTAATCCTATAGCATAAAAATCTTAATATTAAGACATAGGAGAAGATACTTAAGAATCTGAATATTAGTATAAAACAGACATTTTTTTATCCTCAAGTTGATTTTTTTTTCTTATGGTTTCTTGAGGCAGAGCGTCACGATGTAGCCCAAGCTGACCTCAAAGTCAGGAACCTCCAAAATGAAATAATCTTCTTCCTTGCTGAGTGTGTAAGTCAAAAAGCTCTTTAAGTATTTGCTATCTGGCTGTTTAAATTCTTTGAAAGCAAGTAATATATTAAAAAGGATGGTTTCCAGGAGAGCAAAGTGAATTCACTCTCTGTATTTTGAAAGTTAAAAATTATACCATCAGAAGCATCGTGAGATCAGTTTCACATACTGTCCAGAATGCTTCCTTCTTTGAGGTGTTGAACAGAGTTGACCAGGAGACACCCTAAACAATACAAGTTATTTATCTTGATTGATCATCTCAATGATAAAACCTTTTCACTGAAGACACTACCCACTTCAGGCACAGGTCAGTGAAAAATCAAATTTCTCCTGGCCAGGAAGCCCCCTCCTCGTTAACTAGTTTTCAAAGTACCGAAAGATGCTATGCAGGCTGCTGGGGGTGGGGGATGTCATCAGCAATCTCACCTGTCAATCATCAGTGATGACCAGCCTGCTTAGATATGCCTACTGGTGTAAGAGTGACACAGTTGCTATAGTCACTGCCTGCTTTGCGAATGGATTTAAGGCTCATTCCACAGGATAAAACATGTGCGCTTGATACTGAGAATCTGGCTCCAATTAAAACCAGTGGCTTGGTGGGGTTAGCTCACAGGCCCCAGGAATGAATCTACTACTATTATTCCGGTAATCAAACACAATATTGGCCTCTATTATTAGTGCAGCTTTCTGGCCTCATCAGAGAAGTTTCTTCATGCAGTGGACAGTAGTTAACAGAGAAACTTATAACTGATGAAAGTACAGGAAATAAGTATCTGTGGATCGCCCAGCCACAAACAGGATATTGATATCACCCCATCTCCAGGGACTATTATGGAAGAAGGCACAAAAGGATTGTAAGATCCAGAGGTTGGACAGGACCAGAGCAAGACAGTGTCTTCTGGAGATTACAAGTGGCTGCACTCATGAACTCAAAGCAGTTGTGGTTGCTAGCACAAGTCCCACACAAAGATGTAGCCAGTCAATATGCTATCACAGAATGAGGAGAGGGGCCCATGGTCCCCTGACTGAAGAGATATGGACAGTTTATAGTTTCTGTGGATAGGTGGATCAGTTTCCTTCTTTGGGTCTGACCACTGGTCGATCAACTGCCACAGTGGATGGCTTCACACCCATGAGTGGGCAGCACAAACTGGAATCTATGGGTTTTTGTTTGTTTGTTTGTTTGTTTGTTTTACAGACACAAAATTAAGAGGGGTACAAGGAAGAGGGCTTAGATGGGGGAGGAGTGAAGAACAAATATCACCAAAACATATTGTCTGATATTCTCAAAGAATTAATAACATATTATATGTAAAATGGATTTTAATCCACTCAAAGTGGTCTTAATGTTTAAATAGTTTTCTCCAGATTATTTTCAAATGAATATGTTTTTGACAGACAATAAACAGTTGTGTGCCCTCCTCCTTTGTAAACAGACGTTAAATAAAAATATATATTTTTTATCTTAGTGTCAAGATTTCCTCATCTGGGCAGATGATCACCCCAATGGCAGGATTTAAATGTGGTTCAGGCTTTCCTTACTGTCTAGATGATGCTAGCTTTCATTGTTAGGTTTTATGTTTATTCTTTTTAAAATGCAAGTCTGGGACAACTATACCAGCTCCATGCTGTGATTTAAACATGTCTCTCAAAATTTCAAGGCAAAACTAGATCTTCAAGAGTATATATTGATACTACTTTAAGTTAGGGTCTTTGAGTGGACTTAGAATTCTGAATGCTAACGAGTGTAAAGCTCCCATCCTCCGTTTGTGATATTTTCCTCTGTATAATATGTAACAAGAAAACCCTCACCAGCTCCAAAGAGGTGATGATGTCATCCTGTTGGACTTTTCAGCCTTCAGATTCATAAACCCATTCAAACTCTTATCCTCTAAAAAGGACCCAATCTCAAGTATTTTGTCATAGCAACAGACTAAAACATTACACTTCAAGGATCTAGGAAGACTTTAGGTAAAAAGGATTTTGGAGACGGCAATGAAGGATGCATCGAGACACTTCTGAGTGATAAAGACAGGGACCAGAGCTCTAGGTACACTGGGGACAATCTATCTGTGTCACAGCTCTTCTAGAGACTGCATGTTATACAACCCCTGTAAATGTGTGTAAGCCGATCTGTACTTGATATTCCAAAATACTAGTTAATCCATCCATCACACACAGAAAGCATAGTATCTGTGGAAAATCCTAAGAAGTTTATTATGTTTTTGTCTTACCCAATCACATGCCACAAAAAGCACCAAGAGAGTCAAATGGTCAGTTAACAAGCACCGATTGTAATTTTCAGTTTCTGGGCAGCTGGTTCCTGGTTGATATATGTAAGTAAATCTGTCGTATGCCTTCATGATTGGACGAGTTTATCCTTATATCTTTGACAGTTAATATGGTCATCTAAAAAGGCTAGTCACTGGAAAGAAACATATTACTGTGGGGCTTTCTGTAAAAAGGAAGTTCTAACCAGAGCTACCCCCTAAGATAGGCAGAAGGTGGCTTAAAAATCGGTGTTTGATTAAGTTCTCGAGCCATGACTCAGAGTCACCTGTTGAAGCCATTCTTTACGTTGTCTCTGCCTTCCTAGCCAATTTCTTACTGCAATTTGCAATCACGACCAGAAGAAACTAGGGCACTGTGCGACTGCTGGAAATGCAGTGATCTTAACTCCTAGGCAGTATGGGCTAGCCTTCCCGTGATGCTCACACCACAAGGAGACACTGAGAAAGCAGGGCTGCACAGAGAGATAACTGAACTGGCTTGAGAAGAAAGGTAAAGACCCACACTGCAGGGTTATGGGTAGCAAACATGTAGGAGAAATCAGCAGCATCCCATGGTTTTCTAGTTCTCATATGCTTGCCTTCCTTGTTATCTTGGGGCTTTTAGCACAGCCACGTTTCCTTTGCATACTCTCAAAAACAAGGATACATACACACACACACACACACACACACACACACACACACACACACACACA